GATATTTCTAACATGGCCGCTCGAGAAGGAATGATACATATTTATAAGTAGTTGAAGAAGGTTTATCCAACTGTTCTACCAATATGAATATGATCAAACTGATGGTATCTGAACGAAACTATATTGGTCTTAGAGAAAAACAAATATTTAATGACGTTTCAAAGTGGTCAGCTAGGTCAGATCAAAAGGTCAAATATAGTTATTGTAAACAAAAAGAATAGGTAATAGACTTCTCTGTTCCAGCGCATCACAGAGTAACACTGAAATTTAGACAGATTCTCTGATGACAATAATGCTTAACATTATGCTAAGATGTCCATTTATCATCACCAGTAACAAGTCTGTTCAAAATGGACAAGTAAAGTTGTTGTGAAAGCAATGGCTCTCAACAGTTGAAGTGTTATTGGTGATTTTCTGGAGACAGTACATGTTATACATCATGACGGTCGTCTTCGAGTATAGAATCCAAAGGTTAGCAGTGAATATTTCGAAGACAGTAGGAAAGCGTTGTTCAGGTTAGCAGTGGATATATCGATAAAAGTAGCAGAGCATAGTTCGTCATTCTGGTTGTCTTCGCCTGACAATCTGGACTGGACATTCGGGTAGAGTGAACAAAAATGGCCGCCTTTATACACGACGGATAGAATGTTCTACGCCTTCTGATTGGTTAACCATCTACTGGTAGACTATAAAGCGAGTCAAGGCATTTGGATTGGCTCACTAGTTACATATACATACATATACACAAAAAACTGTAACAAGTCTGTTCAAAATGGGCAGGTAAAGTTGTTGTGAAAGCAATGGATCTCAATACTTGAAGTGTTATTGGTGATTTTCTGGAGACTACGTGCGGGACCTATTTTGCAACTACTGAAACCTTTTTCGGCCTTTTTCAATTTAATTAGGACTGTCGTATGAGTAACATTAAATGTTTCACTGAGTTCCCTAGCCATAGTATCAGGATTTGCAATGAAAACAACTTCTAAATCCACTGAAACCTTTTGGGCGATCCTAATTTGGCTTATTCTCTCGAATAAATTTCCCAGTTGATGTGACCAAGAGAAAGTTACTGAATAGAATAATCACACAGAAGGTGGTAAATAACTATAATATTTAGAACAAAAATAACACATATAAGATTCGCCAGCGGCGCGTAGAAGTAGTCAACTTCTAGAATCGAGTCAAGTGAATTCCACTATGAATCTCCAACTGTAGCATATCTACCAACTGCTCCACGTGGTCAGATGTGGCAGAAGGCGGAATTTAATAGGTTCGGCCAAAAATTCCCTCGGTTAGCTGTTTCCCGAGATGAGACTCTGTCCTTCGACATAGCCTAGTCTGGGGTTCCTCTCTGCCCGTAGAGTTACAGCAGCACAGCTGGAGACGAATCTCGAACTGCAGGATATCTACCAACCGTCCCACGCGGTCGGATATGGCACAAGGCCGAATTTAATGTGGTGTATCCGAGCCCGTAGGCTCAGCCAAAAATTGCCAGTAGACCCCGTATAAATAGGGGTCAGGTAGCTGTTTCCCGAGAAGAGACTCTGCCCTTCGACATAGCCTCGTCTGGAGATCCTCTCAGATCGGAGGTAGAGAGTTTGACCAGCACAGCTGCAGACGTATCTCCGACTGCAGACCAACATACAGTATTTACAACTGTATTTATGTGAATGGGGACATACCTATTATCGTCTGTAGGTATGCTACAACACCAATATTGAAACTGAAAAATCATCCGCCTGCATCATTTTTTACTCAATTCAACGACCCTCTAAGCATGTTTATTTTAATGTTGCACTTGCATTGACACCTTTATCAAACTCGTAAAGTATAGCATTTCTGACGCATTCTTTAGTTGTAATGAACACAGTTGGAAATATTATGTTTAATATTCTTATAATCTGAAGAAAAGAAATTCATTTATCATAGTACCTATTGCTAAATAACATAAGGCAGCGATACGTCAATAAATTTTGTTCGACATATTCGTCTAAAAATAAACGGACAACTTTCGTTCCAACCTGATGCAACTAACGTTTCTGATGCAGGTGTTGCTTGTATAGGATTGAGAGGCAGTTTTAGATTCGGAATTGTCCTTTTCCTAGACGAGTTACCAATCAAAGCTAGAGAACCCTGTGTGTTCTTCCATATCCGATTAGTCCGGGAAGAGGAGAAATTGATTCACATCTAACAAATTGCACATGAATAGAACGAACTCGGTCGGATTTTGAACTCGTCGCACCGATTCAATTTTCCATTCAGATAGACTATACGCAAACAAAAACACCTCAACTAATAATAATAATAATAATAATAATAATAATAATAATAATAATAATAATAATAATTGGCAATGATAACCAGAATGATGTCAAAATTAGATTATGTCCGCATTTTGACATTCGGAGTAGATTTCAATTCGAAAGTAGCAAAAGTGAAATAAGTAATTTAATTTTCCAGAAACAAACGGCGCCTTTACCAACAAGAAGAGAAAAAAAAAAAAAAACAAGAAAAAAAAGAAAGGGAAAACAACAGTAGAATAATCACCTTAAAACAGACATTTAATAACGCATAAACAAGGACACCAGAAAACCAATAAGGTATGTTTGCTTGGAATTTTTGCTTAAAAATTATCTATAATTTCTTCTAGCAATTTCGTTCTAACAATTCCAATTTTAACTTTTAATTACCGAGCGAATAGAAGAAAATTGACTTCTAATAAGAAAAACCCGAGAAGGCACGCGATATGTGTGCCAGGGTGAATTTTTTTTTTCTTTTGTTTTTCTATAGGTTCTTGTAATTATTATTATTATTATTATTATTATTATTATTATTATTATTTGTAGTAAGACTTAATTCTGATGTCTCCGACGATGAGCGTCCTATCTGCACGTACACACACAAACACACACATACACATATATGTAATTCTGCAGGTGTGTGTTATTAATTATTTGCATATTAAAAGGTGAGTTTTATAAAATCAATGAAGCTGCTGTGTTTATGCAGAAGCTCTTAGTTCTGAGTAGATATTTGCCAAGATTAGCCAAGTCTGGCACAAGGAAACTGTAAATATGCTCCAAGTGAAGAATAGACATAAAACACGAACGTATAGTCCATTTCTCTACAGCTTTTATCAATAATAAGTCTGCTTAAAAATACCCACTCGTCGGATTTGTGTGCAGAGTGCGGATCGAACTCGCAACATGAAAACTGATCCAGTGAAGCTATCTTACGAATCAACAACTGAGTCTTGTATTGATTATTATTATTATTATTATTAGTGGCACATAATTCTGATGTCTCCAGCGGGGAGCACCCTTTCTGCACACACGCACAGACGCGTACGCATATGCTCTTTCTCTCTTTCTCACACATACGACCACAAACACACACATATATATATATATATATATATATATATATATATATATATATATATAGTGATTTTCCAAGCGTATCTCAGATGTGGCACAATGCCGAAAATATGGGGCACCCAGTGAGGATCGAACTCACTACTGAGTCGTAATTGTTCTAGCGAGACAGGCTAGTTAACTATTACACCAGCTCGAGGTGTCCTAAAGATTTTCTAAGCGTAGATTATATGTGGCACAAGGCCGAAAATATGGGGCACCCAGTGAGAATTGAACTCACTACTCAGTCGCAATTGTTCTAGTGGGACAAGCATGATAACCACTACACGAGGTCGAGTTGCCCATATATATATATATATATATATATATATATATATATATATATATATATTTTTTTATAAAAAACATTTATAATATAAATATGTTATAAAATCACTACAAAAATAGCCATTTTGTTTCAACACCCTCGGTGTCTTATCAAGTGATGATGTTGAATGTAGATTGTAGATTCTACAGTCTACGTTCAACATCATCAGATGTTGAAACAAAATGGCTATTTTTGTAGTGATTTTATAACATATTTATGTTATAATTTGTTTTTTTTTATAAAAAATAATTATATCTGCTCTACTTTGTATTGAGCACTCTTTTAAGAATAGTAATTGTTGGTTATTGGAATTCATTCCGTATACACCAATTATATACTTGTATATATATATATATATATATATATATATATTAATTCTGCGCTAATATTTGCCACTGTTCGCCAAGTGTGCCAAAAGGAACCATAAATATGCGCTAAATTAATAATGGACTCAAAACACGAGCGTATAATCGATTGCTCTACAGCTACTATCGACACTAAATCTGCCTATTTTTTTTTCTTTTGGTTTATATACACGCTCTTCGTATTTAGGTCCGCATTGAAGATCGAAAACTGGTCCAGTGAAGTGAACTTATGAATCAGCGGCCTACGAGAAGCGACCTAATAATTGTTCCCTAACTTTAAGTTAGAATTCCTGCCAGGATTTATTTCTGATGCGCGCAATCTTAAAGTTATAAGATGCCGCCGTATTCATCACATACCACGGAAAGTTAACTGCAGGATCTCTTAGACAAAGTAATAAAGGTAATCACTAGCTGTAAGAAGACAGAATATTGCCAGCAAGACTAAGAGGCGAAGATCCGAGCTACGAATTGAAGATGTCAAAATCAAGCCAGAAGAGCCATTTAATTATCTAGGACGTACTTTAACAGTTAACAGAAAATGTGACTCCGACATAGTTTCAGAGGAACTAGTGCATAATCTTTCTTACGAGCTTGTGTAAATATATGGAAAAACAGGGAGTGGGAATGATAGTAAAAGGCGGATATTGCTAGGAACTACAAAGAATATAATGTTGTGGAGAGCCATGACCGTCCCCTCGTGCAGGAACAGGTCACGTGAAAGAAACAGGTTTCGTTAAGCATAAGGCCAAATTATTTGGGTGACAAAACTGACAGGACGTCAGAAGAATCTTCGAGACGAGGTTTCTAAGCATCTTTTACCGGAAAGCTTTTAACTCTATTGGCATCATTGACATGAGGCCAGAAAATTGGGGCACCTGGAAAATTTCCCGTCTTACGGCTGTATCACATTGAAACACCGGTTCTCATGGGATCATCAAAATTAAGCAATATCGGTCCTGGTCAGTGCCTAGATTGGTGACCGCTTGGGAATAACAGGTGTCGTAAGCTTTGATATGCAATCGCATTTACAGTTCAATGGTTTGAAATGTTTTGACTTGAAAGGGTGAATATGTGGATCTTGGCGAAAACCATACTTCTTCGAACATTGCGAATTGGTGCAAGAGAATCACAAAGAACAGTGCCAGATAACAGAAAGCATACCACTTAAGTGAGAGCCATGACCTATCCCTGTATCAGTGGAGGGTCATGACTCTCCACAACATTATATATTTTATAGTTCTTAGCAAAGTCCGTCTTTTACTATCATTCTCACTCACTGTTTATCCATATATTTACACAAGCTTGTAAGGAAGATTACGCGCTAGTTCTTCTGAAGCTTTTGCCTCCTTTTCCGTTGAATGTTAGATTTTCCAAGCACCCTTTCTTCATTTTGTGTATGTTTCAACTTTTTGATTAAATGTTTCGTTCATTTCATTCCCAGCTTCATTCTGTAGAACCACATCTTTTGTCAAAAGCAGCAAAACCTAAAATGTATATCAAATGTTACTTGCAAAGAAAATATTGACATACTAAAAATGTTGATATTCCACAGTACTTCAAACAAAAAGTTAGGAAGGAAACCCCCATCAATACTGGAAAGAGCAATAGCAGCTACTAAACGTGAGAAAACTATTTTCATTAAAAAAAAAAGTTTTAAAGGAAAGATTTTATAAATTTCAAACAACAGCAGTGCAATCTGCTATGTCAGTGAATGCCGAATGTTTCCTTATAAGGAAACGGCTAGTTATCGTTACCATTACCATTTGTAAGGTACGTTTTTCAACATCACTCCTATTAACTGATCTTGTCAATTTACGCTATTTCCCACTGTCCCACTTGCCTTCAATATCACCTTTGAGTGTCACGTTTTCCAAGCCCTCTTTTTCTTTATCCTAGAAATTTCAGCTGTGTAGAGCAAGTGGACATAATTGAATATAAATAAGTGGCAGAGCTGCCCAATGAAGAGACTTGTCAAAATCTGTAATAAGATATAACAACAACAAAAAGAACAGAGTAAAAATTAATATCGAGCAAGCAAATAATATATGCCAAGCAGATTACCAGTTAGTCAGTTATGTCCCATGCGTGATAGGTGATCATGTATCTATCGATACATGACTCACGAGGCAGAATTTTTTTTTCTCGCAGTAGGTTGTCATTTCTTTCTGTTGTAGATCAGTTGCCATCCAAGGCTATACAACCCGGTCTGTCCTGCTATTTACTCATAGCTGGTGGTAGAAGAGGATCCATAACTTTCCCAAGGTTATTAGCACGTAAGTGAATGTAATGGATTCGACTGGAATTCGAACTCGGCTCTCTGATTCTTCAATTCGAGTTGCTATCCATTACTCCACCGTGCCACCTTTTACTAGTAATAAGGCAAAAAACAAAAAAAAACTGTAATGATCCAAAAACTTCACAAACTAAGAACTGAAGTTGACATACAAGGTCAAATTCGTTCAAGACAAGACAGACCGGGACTGAGTCAGATGAAGCCGACAAGTTGCCTATATTATTGGCTAGAAAAAATCCCAGCATGCTGTACTTCTACGTAAACTCCGGGGCTATGTTATTACTGCACGATTGTTTCATTTAATCCAATCGTTCCTTTCAAATCATGAAATGAAGGTCGTTTTGAACGAAGCTCGCTTCCAAATCCTTTCACACGAACGCGGCTGTCCCCAAGGCTCTATCCTGGGTTCTACACTGTTTCTGATCTTCATTAATGATCTTCTTGATGTCATCAGCTACTAAGTAGGCATTTATCCAGATAACACTTCCATTCCCTCCTTTCGCAATAGCAAATCCATCCGAGCTGACAAAGTTAACCTAGCCGCTGCTCTTTAAAAGGACTTCCAATCAGTGGTTAACTGGGGCAAGAAATAGCTTGTAAATTTTAATGCCTCCAAAATTAAACTGCTCTCATTTAACCAGCATCGAGAAATTTCCTGACCTACTATCAAGCATGGCTGATTCTCAACTCCAGGATGGGGGTCTCGCTGCGCCTTCTTGACCTCACGTTTTCATCTGACATGGAGCGAAACAACTACATTGAATCAATAGCTGCATCTACTTCAAAGAGAGTTGGTTTATTACATCGTACCCTAAGGTTTTTCTCGTCAGAGTCCATCTTGAGAATTTACCAATCTACATTATTACTGTTCAAAGTAGAGTCCAATAGTGTTATAAAAAGCTCGGAGAATTCCAGTAACATATCTTTAATCCTTTCTAAGATATATCGGTTCAAAGCTTAATCTCACAAATGGACAATTTTGCTTTTACCCGATTTTGAAAATTTTACCGTTACACCCGATATTTGTGCATGTGTGTGTGCGCGCGCGTGCGTGAGCATGCTAATAGATAGATAGATAGATAGATAGATAGATAGATAGATAGATAGATAGATCAATGAAAAAAAGATACTGATTTAGATTGTTGTAATATTGTAGACAAGGAGAGTCGGAGGACACACAAACACGTACAAATATGGATCCTTCAGAATGAGA